AACACTAGACTGAAGTCTCAGTCTATACATTAAGGCAGAAATGAAAATGACATCAGTTGGAAAGGAAGAAATAAAACGAAGTTCTACAGCTGGGCCTCTATTTTAAGAAACAAACCCTCACTTTGAATGAAAGCAAACTCTGAATGATCAACATAAATTTAACAGATTGTTTCCACTGTCAAGACTGTAGTAAAATACTTGATAAAAATTCAGAAACATTTTAGTACTACAAACACTGGGAAGACCTGGACTTGAGCCCCAATCTAAAGGGAATAGAAATCAGTAAGAATACCAGGGAGGACCTAATGTCGGGGGTTAAATGGAGAGAAAATGTTTTGAGAAACGATGTAACGATGTACAAATGTGCTTTACACAATTGATGTGTGTATGGATTGGGATAACAGTTGTATGAGCCCCTAATAAAATGTTAAAAAAAACAAAAACAAAAACAAAAAAAAAGGAATACCAGGTAGCCATTGGGCCTCCACTCAAGTACTCCCTCAACGCAAGAATATTTTGTTCTATTAAACTGGCATTCTATGATGCTCACCTTCCCGACACAACCGCTGAAGACAAAATAGGTGGATAAGCAAATGTGGTGAAGAAAGCTGATGGTGCCAGGCTATCAAAAAGTATAGCATCTGGGGTCTTAAAGGCTTGAAGGTAATTAAGCGGCCATCAAGCTCAGAAGCAACAAAGCCCACATGGAAGAAGCACACCAGCCTATGCAACCATGAGATGTCGAAGGGATCAGGTATAAGGCATCATCAGAACAAAAAATCTTACCATAGTGAATGATGGGGGGAGTGCGGAGTGGAGACCCAAAGCCCATTAGTAGGCCACTGGAGATCCCCTTGCAGAGGGGTCTCGGGGAGGAGATGAGCCGGTCAGGGTGCGATGTAACAATGATGAAAAATACAACTTTCCTCTAGTTCCTAAATGTTTCCTCCCTGCTCCCACTACCATGACTCGAATTCGACCTTGCAAGGCTGGCTAGACCAGAGGATGTACACTGGTACAGATAGGAAGTGAAAATAAAGGGAATCCAGGGCGGATGAGCCCTACAGGACCAGTGGTGTGAGTGGCGAAACAGGGAGGGTAGAGGGAGAGTGGGTAGGAAAGAGGGAACCAGTTACAAGGAACTATATGTGACCTCCTCCCTGGGGGACGGACAACAGAAAAGTGGGTGAAGGGAGATGTCAGACAGGGCAAGATATGACAAAATAACACTTTATAAACTATCAAGGGCTCATGAGGGAGGGGTGAGCGGGGAGGGAGGGGGAAAATGAGGACCTAATGTTGGTGGTTTAAGTTGAGAGAAAATGTTTTGAGAATGATGTACAAATGCGCTTTACACAATTGATGTGTGTATGGATTGCGATAACATTTGTATGAGCCCCTAATAAAATGTTTTAAAAAAAACCAAAAAAACTCTAGAGACCTAATTAAAAAAAAAAAAAGAATACCAGGTAGCCTTTGTTCCAGCATTTAAGTATACCTTCCCTATTTAAAGATCCTGTAGTGCAATGGGTTAAGCATGGAGCTGCTATACATCAAGTTCATTGGTTCAAATCCATCAGCTGCTCCATGGGAAGAAAGATGAGGCGGTTTCTTCTGGAAAAGATTTAGTTTCTGAAACCCCAAGGAACAGTACTATGTGCTGTAAGGTTGCTTAGTCAGAATTAAATAGACAGTAGTGGGTTCTCTGCATATAAATATATATCCCACTGGTCATTATATTGTAAATATATTCTTTCCTGACTGTATCATTCAGTTTACATTGATCTTAGCCTATGGTCCATTGGATTTTTCATAATTCAAGTTCATAATGGACATGAATAGGGAAATCATTATCAGATTATTCATCACAAAAATTATTTACTAGAAAACACTAGTACGTTACATTCTCACTCTCATCGAGTTGATGCCAACTCAGAGGAACCCACTAGGACAGGCCAGAACTGCCCTTGTGAGTTTCTGGGACTGTAACCTTTTATGGGAGAAGAAAGTCCTGAGTGGCTGGTGGTTTTGAACTGCTGACCTGGCAGCAGCTCAACTCGTAGCCACTATGCCACCCAGGTACTTTAAAACATGTAATATGTTCTCTTAGTCATGTGGATAATTTAAAATCAACAAATAAGAGGAAACATCTGTAACTAAGGACTTCTCCTTTACAACATACTAAGACTGGCTACAGCAGGACAGAAAAGCTAAAAAAAGCCTATATTCTGGAAATTTTACAAGTGATTAGAAGTTGGTATCAGTCCATAGCTCACACCTTCTTATTTACCATGGACCATAGAATGTGGAGTACAATAAGCCCTTCATAGTCTCTCTGTGATTTCATTCCAACTATCTGACATTGTCATTTGCGCAAAACTCAGAAGACAAGCCACAAAATTAAGGCAAAGCTCAGCTACTTTAATCCACAGTCACTTTAATGTCCCATTTTTCTTTTACATAAACTCATTTATTCACTAAACATCTATAGAATATTGACTAGGTTTCAGGCCTCAGTTATACAAAGATGATCGTGTTGTTGCTGTGTGCCCTTTCCCCAATTCTAACTAACAGTGACCCACCTTACAGGGCAGAGTAGAACAGCCCCACAGCATTTCCTGAGCTGTTATCTTTATAGGAGTTTATCACTAAGTCTTTTCTCCTACAGAGCTTCTGGGAGGGTTCCTTTAAGTTAGCAACTGAATGTTTAGCCATTGAGCCAGGGTACAGTCACAATAAACTAATGTGTCAACTTAAATGCTTTTTATCTCTGGAGGTAGATACGATGTACGGTATCATTATCGCCTATTTACAGATGAGCTACAGACCATAAGTCACACAGCTATTAAGCCAGAATTTGAACCCAAAGTAATTAAAGCCCAGAGGCAAAATTTTTAACCATAACACTTTGCTGGCCTAAAGAGACTTACTTTAATGTAATTAGATAGATAAATAAAACATCAATAAAAGTTTTCACAAATATTTAAGAACTGTGGGGATTCAGAAGAAAAGAACATCAATCCCCATTTGGAGTGACTTTACAGATGGTCCAAAAAGAGAACTATTTGTTCACTGGCCTTAAAAATGAAGAGGGCACCTAGATAGTGGAAAGCAAGTTCGGAGGCCCACCACTGTGAAGGGGCTCGCTAGACTATGAAACAATGAGAAACACAGTCATGGCTGAAGAAAGAAGTCAGTGGAGCAGGAAAACAGAATATGAAACTAACAGATTTGAGATAGTTTTACATATTATTTTTATTTCTTCTCCATGAAACAAAGAGATGTGCCTGGAAATGAAATAATAATCAGTATGTATATATGTAGGTATGTGTGTGTGTGTACATATGTATATAAGGGCTGAAGTGCTAACTGCAAGGTCAGCAGCTAGTTCAAAACCACCAAACCCCCTGAAGGAGAAAGACAAGCTATCTTCTCAAATAGGTTTACAGTTTTGGATACATGGGGTAGCTATTAAACAGAATCCCCTTGATGATAGTGTGTAAATTGATGATACGGATTTTAACTAAACATGAGATAATAATGGTTACCTGGAAGAAAATCTTAGATTAGAGATTATAAAAGGTTTTTTCTCGTAACATAAAAGGAATATAATTAATTATTACATACTATCATATATATTAAATACTATATAATATATATTATCATATAAATATTATGAGTGGGGATGAGGGATGTAAAGCCCTATTAAGATTAGCTTTAAACCTAAAGTCTTTAATTCTATGACTGACTTTTTATTATGTTAATTCCCCTCTGTAGCCAAATAAGAATTCTAAAGAAATGTATTAGCAGGCATTTATGGTGTTACTTGGGATACCAAATGTTAACTGAGTTTAATAGTAAAAGGTAGTCTCAAGTTCAGAGAGGCAGAGAAGATACCACAATACCAGGCTTAACTCATAAAGCACCATTCTTTTTATATGAAAGCTGAGTAAGAATAGAAGTGCTAGAACCAAACCTTTCTGGTTTCAGAGTCCAGCTCTCTTACTAATTGTTGACACCTAGGTCAGTTTATTTACACTCAGTTGTATCATCTGTATATTGGAGATATCAATGCACACCTCTCAGCACTGCTACTAGTTTGCAGTTCAGAAGTGGTAGCTATATTAATATCCCAAGTATTTTTTCCTTAAAATAGTAAGTTCAATACTTATCTGCCCTGGTTGGTAGGGTGAGCAGGGAGGGAAAGAGGATTTCAGGAGTAAGTAATGATGACAGGAGGGAGTACTAGAATGGACTGTGATTCCATGCATCACCTTAAAGGTGAGTTGACCATGAGGGAGAGTGAAAATTTATGTGGGGGTGATTGTATAATTCTCTGTGATATGGTTGAATGATTGAACTATTGGATTACATGATAAGTAAATTACTTGTGAATAAAACTACTGGGGAAGAAGAAGGTAAATAAATGCTGACCGGCAGGGAAAAGACGAAAGCAAAAACAAATTTAACTGGCAACTGTTTACAAAAAGCACTGCTCCTTAAAGCATGTCACTTTTGACAAAAGAAAATGGAAACTAAAACGAAGCATGCACTCAAATATTTGGGCATATAATCTGCAACCACCAGAGTTTTAAAAATCTTTATCATAATATATAACCTGTACATAATATGTTGCCTAATTTAACAATAAAATAGTTAAAAGTGGCATACTAAGAAAATATACTGGCTTATTATCACAGCAGGACCTCCAATATGATCCCTTATCCCCATAAACTACCCCAAGATGCCTCACATTAGAGAAGGCTAGATAGCATGTTGTGTCAGTTATACTGCATGTGATAAAAAGTCAAGACCAGAACTATATAAAACCAGGCACATTCCAATAAGCAAGGAATATTAAAGACCCTTACCTATGTACTTTGTCCCGAAAAGTTATTTGCAGAACTGTTTTACACCAAGAAAGCCTAAATTACAGTCTGTCACTTCAAAAACAGAAAATTGTGCAAAGTTGTAATTATGAATAAACTTTAAAACTTTACCTGTTTTCTTCTTTTTGTCAGAAGTAGCATCCAAAGCAGGTAAGGTAGTAGAGATGCTTTTATAAATATCATGACTGCATGCTGCAGGATCTTCATCATCAGAAGAAAAGGAAGATATTTGTTCCAAGTTTTTAAGTTCACTATCAACTTTTTCTGATGGGCTGTTATTCCCACTTTCAGACCCTAAAGACATGGGTGTTGTAGATAAAGTCTTTGGAAGTGGCGGGGGACAAAGTGTACGAACAATCTGGTTCCCTGGCCGTCTAGTCCTGTTAGGCATTCGTACAGCAAGAGTGGAAAACTGCTGTTTGGGCCCAGATTTCAGAAAATCTAAGAAAGAGGCAATAAATCCTGTTTTGACCTCTGGCTGTTTTTCCTCTACTTCTTTTATCTTCTGTCTCATTTTTTCTTGATGCTGATAACCATCATGGCAGCTTTCTGAGGAAGGAGGAGTATATGGCAAATACATATCTGTTCCCCTGGGATTCTGGCGCTTGCCTTGAGTAGGTCTTTTCACCTGTTTCTGATTATGGCTGTCTTCATCTTTAATTTGCCCTTTCCCTTTAGCTTTTTTCTTTTGAACATTAAAATGAATCAAGTCTTGGTTTTCTTCTTCAATCTTGACATTGATTGCATCCCCAGGTTGGGCCATGGCCAACAGAGCAAGTGCACTCCTAGTCGGATTCATGGGCACAACATTATCATCACTCCCTAAAGTAAATTCACTCTCTGATGTAGCACTCTCTCCACTTATACTTCTACTACTAGAAACAAGCTCTTGGTTTCTGTTATTATTTAGTATATTATCAACAGGAACTTCACTGTTTTCTTCAGATTCATGATTGGTAGTAGACTGTTTCTTGTTAGAGCCAGAACTTTGCTCGGGGTCTTCATGACTTGATCCAACCAAAGTTACTTTAGATGCTACATTTTGATCACGTCTTTCAATGTGCTTTTGATCAAGAGTTATTTTTGACTGAATGGTAGGTTGTGGAGAAAGGTTGATGGCAATCTGACTTCCATTTAAAGGAATTTCATTTATATTCTGGGGCTTTCCCACTGTGGCTGTTATAGAGCTAAAATCTGAAGTCACATGCCTGGCATCTAATGTCTGCTGAAACTGAGCTTTAGGATCACCATCTTCAACAGCCTGAATGGTTTCACCTGAAGCTGACTTGGAAAACTCAGAAGGTGTAACTCCACACGCTGCTGCTGTAGCTGCTAAGATATCATCTACATTCGATAAGATACTTCTTTCATCACTAAGAAGCATTGCCTCGGAGAAACATATTGATCCCAGAGAAACAAACTGATTCTTGGAATCATGCTGATTTGTTGCATTAAAATGGTCCTTTGTTGCAAGATGCTGTTGTAATGATTTTGAAGACTCAGAGATGTCCATTTTCAAAATTTCAGAATTTTGAGGATGGAGTTGCTGCTGAGGATGTTCACCATTGCTCTGAATAATATGACCATCCATTTGAAGGAAAGGATGTACTATTTGTTGAGGACTTTGAACACGCTGTACTTGTAAAGATGTCTTTGCTTGTGTTAAACCTGCCTGCAGTAAAGACTGCTGAAGAATTTGTAAATCACAAGCAGAGTCTAAAAGAACCTGCGCATTAGGAATAGACACCTGATGGCCATGCCCTAAAGTAGGAGCTGGAAGCGGAATCTGAGATGAAGTATTAATTATTTGATCATGCTGTTCCTGGATCTTGGCTTCCTGTACCTTATGCATAAGAGAATGCTGTTCATTTAGGTCTTTTGTATTCAACCTTATCTGTGAGGCTTGCATTAAATTAGTTGCCTTCTTAACATCAAGAGTTGATGTATTATTGACCTGGCCAATTTGTTGATTAAGTTGTGTCACTGGTCCAACCATGCTTTCTTCTTTTTTTGACCCTTGTAGGGCAATCCCAAGTTGATCTTCCAGACGAGAATTACTTCTGATTACACTCTGAGGATACCTGTCATCTGCTTTTGATACCTTATAAGCTGATTCTTGAGCATTAATTTCTCCGTCAGATAGTCTTTGCGTTGATGACTCAAGAGGTGTTTGCGTCTGTAACACCTGTAAGTCTTGCACTGGAAAATCACCTTCTTGCTTTGAAGATGTATAAACATTTGAATCAAGTTTTCTCTCAGAAAAAGACTTTAGATCGGGGGAAGGTATGTTATTCTGTAATGTCTGACAATGAGGAGAGGATGCAAAAGATGTTGACTGGACAGCAGGCAAATACTTTTGGGCTGGGGGAGACGATGACCCTTGAGTCTGAGCATTTTGGGAAGAATGCAAAGAAATGTAATTCTGGGTTGGGCTAGACACTGGCAAGTTCTGAGCCCGGGAGGCAGAAGAGTAAGAAAGAGAGGGGGCTGTTAACGTTAAGGACTGGCCTGAAGCATAGCTGTCTGAAGGACTAACAATGGACATAACTTGTGATTGAGATGAGTAGCTAACCTGTGACTGGCTAACTGGGGATAAACCCTGAGAGTGACCAGATGAATAACTTTGGGATTGACTGACTGAAGACAGGTCTCTAGTTTGGGCAGGGTAATTCTCACTTGTAACTGAAGATAATACCGGTTGTTGATTAGAAGAATAACTAAGTGTCTGATTTTCAGAAGTTATAGTCTGAGACGAACCTGAAAAAGCCAATGTTTTATATAAGGACGGCAACTTCTCCACCTTGCTAGACCTATAAACCTGTGAATGAACAATAGATGGCACATTCTGTGGTTGTACTAAACCATAATTCTGGGACTGACTAACCGATAAAAGGCTTGGTAGCTGCGCTGTAGAATAAATTTGTGCTTGGCCCGGAATCACAGAACTCTGGTTGTGTAAGGGTTTGGAATAGTTTAGTGTTTGCAAAGGAGGAATTATACTTTGAGGTTTGGGTGTCTTAGTTGGCCTTGGTGGTTGTTTTACAGAACAGTTTTTTCCTTTTGTAGAAGGAGGATACCCTGGTGATGGAATTGCAGAAGAGTAAGACTGAGCAAGTTCCACTGAGACCTGGGAGGTCTTCTGTTGCAGTCCTCCATTGCTCACCTGAGTAGAATCTCCAATTGAGCTACAGGATAAAGAGGACTGCCTGGTTGTTTCGGGAAAACTAACTACACTTGCATTTGATAGATAACTATGTAAGGAATGCTGTGAACCAGTCAGTTGTGCCTGAATAGACTGGGTACCAGAAGGCCGCTGGTGGTGTTTGATAACACTACATTCTCGAAGAAGAGCTCTTTCCATGGAGGCAGTAGAACTAGGAAAGAGAGTTGGACTGTAGGCTTGAGGAGTTTGCTGAGCTCCTCCAAGTGCTGAAGGCAACAAACTAAACTGAGGTTGTAAAAGATGGGGTGCTGACTCTTGAGCTGAGCGATACGTTGAAGACTGAGGTGGTGTGCTATTACTTAACGCTGAACTGCCCAGGCGCTCAAACGCCAAAGCAGACGGAACAGTTCCCTGGGACGTCTTGATCGGTAGCAAAGGATCATGAGGGTTTACAATTCCATTTGATGTAGTGCTAAAAGTGGAATCCTGAAGCACCAAAGGCGAGGTGGGAGCAAAGTTTCTGTTGCTAAAGGTGGTAGGATGCTGATAAGTGGAGAGGGCAGAGGGTGGAAGGGTTCCAGTGGTTGGCAAAGGCCCCGTAACAAATAGCTCGGTTGCTGCTGAGGAATGCATACCTATGAAGAGAAAAAAATGAAGGTCTTTATAAAATCTCAGCACATATACTAACAGACAAAGGGGCTTCAAAAAGCTCATGGAAAATGGAATCTTTTCATAAACTTCTAAAGACCGTTTCTAAGTTTTCATAGTAGTGAGCTGCATAAGTTTGAGCCCATCAAAATCTCTGTAAGACTGAAAACTCTAATAAATTTGTTCTCCTTGCACAGTTAAAAAAAATTCCATTTCAAAATAGCTGGCTTTCTTAAAGCAAAAATAAAGTTACAAAAATATCAAGATGATCACTGCCATGAGTTTACATGTAGTTGATTGAGTAATTTACCCTAAAATCCCAATGTAAAATACAAACATACATGGTATCAAAAATGAAACACTAAATTGCTTACATTTTACCTGAGTCAGCCTTGACCCTTAGCAAACTTATGCACAACAGAATAAAACACTGCGTGATCCAACTCCAGCCTCACACTTATTCCTATGTCTGAGCCCATTGATGTAGCCACTGTGTCAATGTAGTTGAGGGCCTTCCTCTTTTTCACTGCCTAAATTTATACTTCACACATTCCAGTTACAATTATTAGAAGATTTTTGCAGCTGTTTCTCTTTACCTATAGTCGTGCCCCATCAGCAAATGAAGATCCTAAAGCGTCCACTCCCATAGACTTTACCCAACTCAAGTCAACATGGTTGATTCCCCTCCAAAAAGCATCTCCTCTTCAGGCACATTTTGAGTGCCCTTGGACTTGAGGGGCCCACCCTCTGGCACCATCTTGATAATATTCTGCTTCCTTTGGTTAGGCTTTCAGTATTTGACAATGCTTTGAAACTATGCATAAGATTTTCAGCTGCTGCTTCCTCCAAAGTGGTGAGCGAAGTCCTTCTTCACTGCCTGTTCTTAAACTTGTTCACTTTGAGTGACCATGCTGGCATTTGAAATACCAGTGACATAGCTTCTAGCACCAGAGTAACACACAAGCCACCACAGTACCACTAAGTGACAAACAAGTGGTGGACAGTGAGATTTTATCTCACATACTTCAGACATGTTATCAGAAGAGACCAGTCCCTGAAGAAGGACATCAAAATGGTCAGTGTTAAAAATTAAGACGTGCAATAAACTATATTGAGACAGTGGCTGCAATAATGACCTCAAACATTGCAACAATTGTGAGAATGGCATAGCTCTGGACAATATTATGCTTTATTTTACATACAGTTACAGTGAGTTGAAACCAACTCAATGGCACCGAACAATAGCAAGTGGAAAGAACCAATGTTCATCAACAGAGGTTGCATCGTGAGTCACCAAGCAGATTCCGACTCATATTGACACCTCCATGCCAGAGCAGAACGGCCCTTAGGGTTGTCTTTGCCGTATATTTTATAGGAACAGATTGCTCACTTTCTCCTGTGAAGCCACTGGGTGGGTTCAAACTACCAACTGCTTCTGTTAGCAGTTTTAAAAATCTAAGAAAAAGAAATAACAAAATGCTAACTCCTTTAAAAAAGATAATCACTAATACTCATGAGCTATTATTTTCCAGTTTATATATCTTTTTATTGTTCAAATATTTTGAAGTAAGCTACTATTAAAAAGAAAAAAAATTGGGAAGATTCCCTGACTCAAAAAAACATTCCCTCATTTCTTTCCATAAAATGTCAAAAAAGTATTACTGTTGTAAAGAAAGAAAATATCTAGGCACTTAAACGAAATAATAGCATTTGAAATTACTATCTATCATAGGAACTGGTATAAACTATTAAAATAACCTAGTTCAATTCCCTTGCTATAGTGATGAGAACTTGGTTCTTGAGAGGGGATGTGGCTTGTCTGAGGTCAGAAAGTTGCATAGTAGCACTCATCAAACTCCAACTATTTAATTTACTGCTCCTTCCATTGCATCACATACCTCCTCTCTCTATGTGTGTTTGTACGGAGAGTAGAACTATAAAGAGTAGACAGCAATAAAAAAACTGGAATTTAACAATGTTTAAAGCTATACAAAATTGATTTAGCCATAATGTTTACTCTAACGTAAGAACATGTTTTAGTTATATATGTCACAACCATACCTAAGAAGCTCTGCTGGCATAGTGGGTTACACATTGAGCTACAAACCACAAGGTTAGTAGTTCCAACCCATCAGCTGCTCTGCAGGAGGATTAGGCTTTCTATTTCCATAAAGAGATACAGTCTCAAAAACCTGTCCTATAGAGTCACTGGGAGTTGGAATGGACTCAGTGGCAGTAAGTGTGAACCATACCTAAATGCCGATTGTAATTACGGTGGTAACTGATACTCTCACATTTATGCCTAGAATGTGGATTAGGCTACTGGTTAAGATCAGAAAATTATGGAGGGCTTAAAATAGCTTCTATTGCTTGAAATTACTTTATCCTGGAGAGTAATAAAGGATATATTTTACATACAACTGTTAATTTATGAGGAAGCTCAAAAGTTAATTCTCCCAAACTTTTTGAAACTCCCTTATTTTACATCAGTGTAGAAGGGCGTCTCTGAGGCTAGCAGAGCAAATTTTGAAATGCATTCAAAGTCATATTTTAATCTTAGATAAGCCAACTGAAGATGTTCTTTATCACATCACATGAACACAGACCCTCTTCCAACCATATACATGTGTGTGGTGTGTATCCCAATGTTTAGGTCCAATTTAACGTCTGTGGTGCCCTGGGGAAGATTGGGATGGCACTTCCATCTTATTAACCTGAAAAGCTCTTCTGATTTCAATTCAATACAGGGTCAAATTACAAAAATCAAGTTTTAATATTGGAACAAAACCAAAATCTTAAAAAAAACAAAAACCATTATACAAGATAAACACGTTTTACAGAAAACATTGGCAAAATTCCAACGTGAATCCCTCTAACCATTGACCAGGGATGGAAACAGCCTTGTTACTTGACAGAGTTTATTAGAAAGTGGATAAATGCAGATGTATTTAGGTTAAAATTTTAAATCTTATCATTTGTGGGAGAAAGATGGAGTCTATAACGATTTACATGTAGCCTTTTAAACCCACCACAGCAAATCTATCCTGTCTTATAAGGGCACTAGGAGTTGCAGTCAGCTCAATGGCAATACATTTGGATTTTATTTTTTCACCCATTTAAAATTTGTTCTAGTTTTTATTATTTTCTGCTTTCTTTTGGATTAAGAGCTTTCGTGTTTTTGTTTTGCTGGGTTTTTTTAAGGGGTGGAGATGACGAGGGTTAGATTAATAGTTTCTTACGGTTATGGCAACAAAGTTTGTAGGGAAATCAGGTATTAATGAATACAAAAATGAAGAAAAAAGTCTAAAATTGATTATAGTGATTATATAACTCTTTTATACTTAAACGATTCAATTGTATGGTATATGAATTATGTCAACAAAACTTGAAATTAAAAAACAAATAAAAATGAAAAGTGACCCCTCCCCCCCAAAATGAAAAGTGATAAAAAAAAAAAATTGACAGGCCCCAATAGTTTTCCAAAATAATTGATAAGATAAAGAAAAACCATTTATGGGCAATATAAAGTTTTGTTAAATATCTGTCAATTGACAGAAGGAGTTTTATGTATTCAGCAAACAGAAATATATATTTTAATTCTTTTGTTAAATGTTTCTCTTCCATTTCTATAACTCTAATTGCTATATCTCTATTTCTGGCTAAGGTTAAATAAAATTGAATTTATGGAGTAGGGGCAAAGAAACTTTCCTGTCTTTATTGAAATACAAAAAAAATGTTAACCCTATAAAGCCAAGAGCGACGTTTTTGTACCATTTAATTGAAATGTGTCTGGTACAGAAATTATGAAGGTTTTGGAGCTGATGATGATGTCGACAAAATCGCCGCACTTTACTAGTACTATGCATACCCCTAGTCACACATTTTAGTGGCAAAATGCTTGAATCATGGCACATGTTTTGACCGATTGTGCGTGAGTTAGTTAATTGTGCCAGCCTGGCCGATAATCACATGTGGTGCTGGTTGAAAGGCGGAGGGATAAATGGGTGGTGAAGCCTCGCCTTTCTAGTTCTCGGGTCTCTTGTTTTGTGATGGTTGTATCGGGTGCAGCTGCCTTAGCAGTTCCCTGCTTCAGCTTGCAAGATGGACTTCCTACAAGACATCCCCAAGGAGAAGCTGCATGGATCTATCCCGATGCAGCCCTGGGTGCTGGAGCAGCCGTGTGGAGACCCTTGCCAGTGCTGAGATGCTTACACGTTCACGGACTCAGCTTTCCTCCTGCAGTCGGCATCATTGCCTCTGTTTTGTGAGGTGGAGGACTTTGTGGACTGGTGTTGGGTAAATGGGTTAATGTTGGACTTGTGGGCTTGGGCAGTATTGTGTTAGGATATTTTCGTGATACACCTTTTCTTTACATAAAACTCTCTCTTATACATGAGTCACCGTGGATTTGTTTCTCCAAAGTACCTAGACTAATACAGTGCGTTTGAGGTTAAGGGGTCGTTGACATTCAGTGCATTTTATGATAATTTTCAATCTAGTGAAGTTTTCGTGTTGATATATTTAGTATATGTTCATAAAACTGTAGTTTTTATGTCAAAGGTATAATACTCATAAAAAACATTATATTTATTATATATTTCTGCTATTTTGAAATGTAACGACTTCATTATGTTCGTCTTTTGAATTGACGGTGACACAAATTACCACAGCATGGACTGTGATTTGTTTTATGGAAAACGGCAAATTTATGACCTAGATGGAAGTGATACAGACTCAGACAAAGAACCAGATGCTAATATGGATGAAATTGGTAAATAGAATGTGTATTATATTTAAATTTTTTATTTTATAATATAAAATTTTAATTATATTGCTATTCAAACTATTTTGATAATAATATTTATTTTTTCCCATGATAGGAAGTGTATATATGCCCGATTATTCTGATTTGGATAATTAGAAGACCTCGTAGTAAGTAATGTTAATACTAGTGAAGATGAGTTAGAAACTTCAGTTGTTGACAAATCAATTCCAATAAGTACAAGTTCAAAGCCATCCACATCAAGAAATCGAAGAATTCCTCTTTGGCGGCACATTTCTGGAGACGGTACAGCTAGACCTGTGCCTGAATGGTTAGGACAAATAGATTCTTCTGGGGGAGTAAAGCGTTCTGTTGAATAGTTTAGACATTTTTCTCGAAGGATATCATTACCCATATTGTCGACCTATCAAATCTTTATGCAATCCAGCAAAGTCCCAATTAACCTTTTGCACTGAGTAGCCACGAACTTGAGCAATTTTGGGGTACACTGCTTGATTTGATAGACTCGCTAACTATACTGTACAGAATTCACATCAGATCGAAAAAATATTATCACAAATTATTTTTTCATTTTATAGATGTGACTGTTGTGAACTCTTGGCTACTTTATCGCAGAGACTGTGAGAGCCTTCAGTTACCAAAAATAAATAAATAAATCCAAAGTCTGCAAGAGTTCAAAATGAGCATCGCTGAAGCTCCTCTTCCTGAAGGAAGAAGTAATAGACCAATAAAAAAGAGGCAGACCTTCTACTAGTTTACTGATGCTGAGTTTGCTAACAAAAGAGAAGAGGTCCTGCCACCAGAAGTTTCCCTGGAAGAGATGCCCGTTTGGATGGTCTTCACCATTACCCTGAGGTCACAAACAGAGGACGATGCAAAAATGTAAATTGCAAAAGTACACCAGTATTTTTCTGCAGCAAATGCAAAGTTCATCTTTGTACTGTATCACAAAAGAAAAACATTGTTTTGTTCAATTTCACACTAAAATTATAAACAAATAAATTTTGTATTATATTTTATAAATAAAATAAGTTTTCAATTTGTTTTTATATTTAAAAATAAAATAAGATGAAAAACAATATAGAAATGAAGGTACATTTTTAATTCTTGTATTATAAATCCACAGGTGAATGTGACAATTTGGTTACATTTAAAAAACATTGCAAATTTTATATTTTTTAAATATATTTTGGTGATTATATATGTTGATAACTATGAAAGAATAAAAATCATTCAATGCCAAGACTGAATTTTATTATACCATATACCCAACCCGAAGTCAGTAAAATAAATGAAATTTAATTTTTGCTCCTCTCAAATAGACAAGTAACTATAAAATCATCAGATATAAACTTTTTATCAAGATATAGTTTTACCAGTAATCTACCCTCTCCAATTTCAACTTTTTCACCCAAGGGCTAAAGCAGAATTTCTGCCAGTAACAAATATGTGATCTTTGTCGACTTTAAAATGTGAAAAATCCCAGGCTTCAAAGTTCACTGGAAGATAAATAATTAACACTGCTCTCAGCAACTCTACCTTAGTGTGGCCATGAAGTGCAGCGTGGGTCAAGAATCTTAGTAGACTTAATTACCTGTCTGCCAGGATGAAGCCCTGAATTGTGGTAAAAGAGTAGTTCCTGAAGAAGCAGCCTGTGCAGGTCGGGATTCAACAGCAGAGAGAAAACTCATCACTGGAGATTCTTTAGTGTTAGTGACGGCACTGTTCACATTACTTTCAAAGATTCCAGAAAGACCTACATTTGAAAAGAAAATAGATCTCAAAGAAAAAATATGTACTCAAAAAAAGTTATAGCCCTGACTATATTTTATAAATAAATTTCTAAAAGTTGAGACTAAAAGTTTCTACAACCCTAAACTTTAATTTTAAAATAGCAATAAATGATCATTTGACCAAGCGGGTTTCTAATTTAAAATCTCCAAAGTTGCACAATCTATTGATTATTTGAGCATTTTCTATTGCATGATTATACCCTACATACTTTTCTAAATGAACAGTTAACATTTAATTTTTCTTATTTACTAAATAGTCCCAGATTCATGATATTTCACGAGAATTGTTACCAGTTGGCTGAGGTGAAGTAGCATATCCAGGAGGCTGATGAGAAGCTGCAAAAGTCTGTCTCTGAAGGAGATCTGCTTCAGAGTGTGAGGGATGTCCTTCTTCATAGCTCAAACTAAAGGACATTAAAAAACAATGACCAAAAACATACCCAAACTATACACACATAAAAAATTTCAAGGACACCAACTATAAAAAGTGACAGAAGTCTGATAAAATGATCACAGTATCCACTGTCATTGAGTCAACTCTGACTCCTAGGGACCAGCGAATGATTTCTGAGGCAGACAGACTTATCTTTCTCCCTCAGTGTGACAGGTAGGTTTAAACCACCAACCTTGCAGTTATCAGTCCAATCTTTACCTGTCACAATTAAAAAAATAAACAACCCACAGTCAAGTCAATGCTGACTCACATAGACCTCCTGTGGGTTATGGAGATTATAACTGTTCACAAGTAGAAAGCCCAGTCTCTCTTCCACATATCTGCTGACGGTTTCGAACTGCCAACCATGCAAATCACAGCCCAACTTGAAACTACTGTACCACCAAGGCACCTTACCTGTCACAATAGGAAAAATATTTTGAAAAGGTACTAGGAAGAATAGCAGTATGTAGCATTTTCTTTAATTCAACTTTATCTTAAAAGGAGTCCTTTTGCTGGGAAAAGCAGCATAATTCAGTAGAAAAGCATTACCATTGAAAATAGAGAAGCTAACTCATTCTCCTAGCTGTACTACCAGTTTACAGTGTGACTAAAACATGTAACTTGCTCACTGTGGAACTAATTTCCATATCTGTATGAAAAAATGGCTTAAAATGGAATAGGGAACCAGTGGAGAAGTCTGAGGGGCGGCCCCAATCCCAACTATGTGGATACCTGCCCCTCCCCCAGAAGAATTTATTTCAGGGTACAGCACTGAATCAGCAGCTCAGGGAGAGGGACATGTCTGATCCGAGCACACGGGAGCAAATGAAGGGGGAGGAAGAGAGAGTAGAGCACATCCTGGCCCACCAAGCCTTGAGGAAGATATTCCCGCTCAGAGCAGCCAATCCACAGAGAAGACCGCATGGCCGCTTGAAGGTAAACAAGTGGCCCCACTATGAGACATGACATCCCTCACTGACCCATAGTCCTACAGAGGACAATACTGGAGACAGTATGGGAATTCCACCGGATCTGATCCCACCACACCGAGACAAAACACTAAGGGTGTACAATAGCAAGGGAACAGAGCAATGAAATCCCCAGGGAATACAAAAAAAAATAGACTTTGGTGGCCAGGGCTTGGTGCCCCAACAGACTGGACTGGAAAATACTCCTAAAGGCCAACACAAAGTCCTTGAACTAACCACAAGCTTTTCTTTCTTGTTGTGTTTTGTTTTTCGTCATTGGTTTGTTGTTGTTGTTTTGTTTTCTTTTGTTGCTTGGTTTTGTTTTGTCTTGTTTTTGTGCATTTTATTATCTCCGCATGTCTGTCTAAATAAGATAGGCTGGATGAACAATCTGGAGGAGAGAACAATGGGACCGACATTTCCGGGGGACATGGGAGAGGGGGAAGTGAAGGGAAAGGTAGTGGTATTAACAAAACCCAGGGACAAGAGAACAACAAGTGATCCAAATTGGTGGTGAGGAGGGTGTAGGAGGCCTGGTAGGGCGTGATCAAGGGTAATGTAACCAAGAGGAATTACTGAAACCCAAAAGAAGTCTGAGCATGATAATGGGACAAGAAGAAAGTCAAAGGAAATAGAGGAAAGAGCTAGGTGGCAAAGGGCATTTATAGATCTAAATAAAGGCATGTACATATGTAAATATATCTATAGATGAGGATGGGGAAATAGACATATGTGCATATATTTATAGGTTTAGTATTAAGGTAGCAGATGTACATTGGGCCTCCACTCAAGTACTCCCTCAGTGCAAAAATACTTTGTTCTATTAAATTGGCATTCCATGATGCTCACCTTCCCAACACAATCACTGAAGACAAAGCGGGTGAATAAGCAAATGTGGTGAAGAAAGCTGAGGGTGCCCGGCTATCAAAAGATATAGCGTCTGGGGTCTTAAAGGCTTGAAGGTAAACAAGTGGCCATCTAGCTCAGAAGCAACAAAACCTACATGGAAAAAGCACACCAACCTGCATGATAACGAGGTGCCGAAGGGATCAGTTATCAGGCATCATCAGAACAAAAAATCTTATCATTGTGAATGAGGGGGAGAGTACAGAGTGGAGACCCAAAGCCCATTTGTAGGCCACTGGACATTCCCTTACAGAAGGGTCTCACGGAGGAGACGAGCCAGTCAGGGTGTGACGTAGCAACGATGAAACATACAACTTTCCTCTAGTTCCTAAAAGCTTCCTCCCCACCCACTATTATGATCCCAATTCTACCTTACAAATCTGGCTGGACCAGGGGAGGTACACTGGTACAGATAGGAACTGGAAAAACAGGGAATCCAGGGCAGATGATACCTTCAGGACCAGTGGTGAGAGTGGTGGTACCGGGAGGGTGAAGGGAAGGTGGGTTGGAAAGGGGAACCAATTATAAGGATCTACATATAACCTCCTCCCTGGGGGACGGACAACCGAAATATGGGTGAAGGGAGACATCAGATAGTGCAAGATATGATAAAATCATAACTTATAAATTTTCAAGGGTTCATGAGGGAGAGGGGAGCAGGGAAGGAGGGGGGAAAATGAGTAGCTGATACCAGGGGCTTAAGTGGTGAGCAAATGTTTTGAGAATGTTGAAGGCAATGAATGTACAAATGTGCTTTACACAATTGATGTATGTATGTATTGTGATAAGGGTTGTATGAGCCCCTAATAAAATGATTTAAAAATGGCTTAAAATTATCTCTAAGGTCCCTTTAGTTGTAACATTCTATGAAATCAGAGAATTCAAATTAGTGAACACTATTTCCTAATGAAAGAAATTAATAAAAGAATTCTACCAACAACTTCAGTTGGAAATTGATCAAACGTGCCACCAAGGTGCATTGATAATTAGTGGCAATTGCAACGCAAAAGCTGTAAATACAGAGGAAGCAACAGTAGATGGAAAATATGGTCTTGACAGACGTGAAGCTGGAGATCACATGATGGACTTTTACAAAACCAATGACTTGTTCATAGTAAATGCCTTTTTTTCAACAACACAAAAGGTGACTCTACCCATGGATTTCTTTTGGAATACATAGAAACCACATGGAGTACATATGTGGTAAAAGACAATGGAAGCGTCCAATTATCAGCAGTTAAAACCAAGCCAAGGGTTGAGTATAGATCACTTGCTCCTATGTAAGTTTATATCAAAGCTGAAGAAAACAAAAACAAGTCTAGTACAGTCAAAATATGACTTGAATTTTGAAAACATCTCAGGGGCATATTTGCTGCAATGAACACTAATGACAAAAGACCTGATGAGCTGTGGCAGGACATCACGAACATCATTCATGAAGAAAGCAAAAGGTCGTTAAATCAAGGAAGTTAAGAAAGAAAAGATAAAAGTGGCTATCAGTAGAGACTGAAACCTGAGAATACAAAGTCAAATATTACAATGAAATGTGCACCCCTAGAGTTAGAAAACTAAAAGGTAAGAAAATGCTCAGCCTATCTTAATCTGAAAAAAATTCAAGCCCCAAGATGCAATATTGAAAGATTCTAGAACAGAGTAGACCTATTCCTGTAGGTTTCTGAGCAGCAGGTCTCATCTTAGCAGCCTGACATGTAACCCCTCAGGGGTCCAAGCCAAAAAATAAGCAGCCCAAAATGCCCAAAACCTGATGAATGGATAGACAAAATGTAGCATATTTGTAAAATGGATCATTATTTAGCTATAAAAGGAGTGAAATATTAATACATGCTAAAACACAGATGAACCTTAAAAATACTGCCCCACCAAAGCTAGTCACAGACGACCACATATGATTCCATGTATATGAAATGCCCACAACAGACAAATCCATAGAACTAGAAAGTAGCTTCATTGATGCTAGATGCTGGGGAGAAAAGAAAATTAGGGACTGCTAAATGCTACAAGGTGAAAATGTTCTGAAATGTGACAGTGGTGACAGCTGTATAAGTCTTATGACTACAGTGATACCTCAGTTGTCAAACAGCCATAAGTTTCCATTTTCCACTACTCAAAAAGCCAAGTTTGAAAAAAAAAATCTGCTCAGTATAACTTTGCTCAGTAGTTGAACCGAAAATCTGACTCGTGTCATCTCTTGCCATGGACACAAAGCGGTGATGCTTCAAAGAGCCTCTCTCATGCACACAACATATAGTGCTGTGTTAGGGTGTTCAAACATTCATCGCTGTGCTTTAATTTTGCTCTTTATTTGTGTAAAATATGATAACCATAGCTCCAAAGAAAGTTAGTGAAGCCAGCAATAAAGCTAAGAGGAAACTGTAAGAACCTCAATAGTTAGAGAGAGATCACTGTCCCAACTCATAGTGAGCCAACATGATGACCTTTGATGCTGACTGTGCAGGCAGCATGGCATAACACAGGGGCTACACTAGAAGGACTTAACATAGAGGTCCGGTTGAATGAACTAAGCCCTGCAAGGAAGTTGCCTGCACCCTTGGACTAAGGTATTCAGATGGGAGTGGAAGCAGAGAATGGCCGCCCTGGGACTGTGGAAGTGGCAGTCATTGGACTTCGGGTGGAACCCCCAGCTCAGGAGGTGTCCAATGGAAAGAGACACAGAATCATCATATATTTAGTACCTCAATGCCCCCCTCACAGTGACATGATAGGTTTTGATCTGTTGGGCAGAGATCTGCACATGGAAGAACTGATCCAGAAGGTTTCCCCTGGCACCAAGCCCCATACTTAGGGTAAACAGAACTCAATAGAATGGGAGATTTCAAACTGTGCAGGGCAACACCACATGAGCTGTAGCTCAGGGTGCATCTGTACTCACTTCGACTCCTTACCAACAGTGTCTGGAATGCTGTCTCACGGGGAAAATTGATGTCACCAGTGCAATCGTCTTTTACCCCAGGGGGATAAAAGTTTTACCCCAGGGGGATGACTGACAATGTTGTACTTTGCTGTTTATATGGGTTGTTGTTTTCTTCCCTTTAGCTTTTTTGCCCTCTTAGTTTTTTGTTTGCTGGTTGGTCTGTTCCTGGTGCTGATGTCCTACGGGAGTTTGAA